AATAAACACAACGATTCTTAACACTCAATTGGTTTTGGCATTATTCCTTCTGTCATTATTATCACAATCCAGTATAGGAAACTCACGCCATACAAAACATTTAAGTGATGACTAATATGTATGTACCTCCATAAAATAAAAGAGAGCAGTTTCGTTGTACAGTATATCTGTTAGGGCAACATTGCCACTTGTAAGAACATCAATTTGGTGCTTACAATGGAAATCACTTCTCAGGAAATCATTAAAATATCTGTAACAAGAGACAATAATTTAAACAGTGAAAAATAACACATTCTATATATCAATTTTCAAAGCATAATTTGCTTTAAAGAACATAAATTAATGACATAATACAGTGACCTATCTTTGTCCAACATTATCAGTACTATACAGATTTTGAAATATCTGGAAGTCTCAAATTGTAAGATTCATTTTGTTGTCATGCATACAGTTTCTAACACACAAGATAAAGCTTCACACATAATTTGTTAATTATATTGTAATCTACCAAAATTCAAATTCCACATATTACAACAGCTCAATTATTACTATTTTGTTGTTACTGTTGTTGTTAAAAAGTAAATATAGTTATCACTTTATACACATAAATAACTTTAATAAATCTTAAAATCTCATAAGATTAACAAAATTTTAATATTCTTTTTTTATATTTGTCACCATACAAAACTTAACCATATTCTACATGGCATTAATGCATTTCTTTGTAAAAATGAAGGCTCCAGTGCAAAAACAGAGTGGCTGGAATTCTGGCCAAAATTTAGTTTTACACTGTTTCACATAAGGTAAAGTTAACCTTGTGCTCGACTAATTAAGCATTATGCCACGAAGATATATGGGGAAGTGAATGTATAGATCCACGTATTCTTGACCTCGCCATTAGTTTGAGGTGAGTGGCGAGCCTCAAGCTCCGGCCGCTTTACCCCATGGGAAAGAGCCCCCAGAATGCACTGGAGAAGTGGCTGGGTACAAGTATTTGTGCGATGCAAATTGCATAACACTATGGGTGAGTGTATCTGGTTAACATTTACATCATACTTCTCAAGACACTTCTCATTACTAAGACAGAACTGCCAGAGCTGAGCCTTTAATTTATGAAAGTCTTCACCATAGAATAATTTCCATATGGTTAAGCACTAACTTGTGAGTTAAGAAAAAAGATCTTCCTTCCTAGGATATATATGTCCATGGGGATGAGTGACGGAAGCAGGGAACAATCTTGATATCACAAATGGAGAGGTTATGAAACTACTTACATTCAGTTTATTTACTGCTATTTCCACAATAAACAAATAAACAAAAAAGAAAAAAGAAGTAAAGAAAAAGAAAAAAAGTTCAACCATTTTTCCACACAATTACTGAAAATAAGTATAATTTAATTTCAATTTTCTGGATGGTTTAACAGCACAACTACCAAAATACTTTCACCGAATTAATTTAAATTTTAAAAACTGGAAAGTTATTTAATTCTTACACAGTATCTGGTTACATCCTTACACAATCCTGTTCAAAAAACATACTTGGATTATGGTCTTCTGCACTGTAAAACCATACATTTTGGTAGATGCTTATGAACCACACATGACACTCTGCAAAATGACAACCCAGAAGGCCACAAATTAAACCTTTACTATTGAGGAAACCTTAAATGTCAGATATATACTTACTCTTTCTCCATGATCTGAAATATATATTCTTGCAGTTCTGTGAAACATTCAGCATCAACCATACCCGCATCATTGCAAATGGCTGCCACAACCCGATCTCTAATGACGTCAGGAACTTTGACAGGATGCGTAGCTTCATGAGATATATATTTGTTAAAAATTCTTAATGCATCATCCACAGTAGCTTGTGACAACTGACTGTGTCCCACTGACAAAGATTTTGTCGTTTCATCCTTGCTAGAATCAATCGATATTCGTTCTGATAATGATTCACCACCACAAACTGCACAGCCAATAAAAGCATTATCTGTTTCACTTTTTGAGACACCTACTAGTTTCTTATAACAATTGGACGTCACTGCACTCTCTAAACTGGAGGAATCAGTCTTATCTATATTGAAATTACCAGGCCTATTGTTCCCAAATATGTTACATTGATAACTGCAAGTCAAATCGCAACTGCTACTAGTAAGCCTACTGTTTGGTACTGAGGATGGTAAAGGATTTCCTGTGCTTTCCCTGCAGGTTAAACTAATATTTGGAGACTGGAAAGGTGGCACGTTACTCTGAGTAGTTTCCTGTCTTTCATCTGGAGTTCCTATACATGTACCTCTAGCACTAATATCATTTGTACTGCCACCAGAATGAAGAGATAGCTGAAATACACTTCCAGAGTCCGTGCTGAGTGACAGCTCATCAGGTTCATAATGAGATGGACAAAGCTTTGCTTCATGTTCATGCGCAGGTGCATTCCTACTTGTGGAATCTGCATGGTCTCTCGCTCCAGCTGCTGCTTTGAAACTCTCTATATCAAGCCACAGTTTGATGTGTGAGAAGGCACCACGAGCCTCCAGGTATTGGATGAAATAGCCAAGTGCTCCTTTGTCAGCCAGAACCTCTTCAAGTGTCTTAGACAGGCGAGAATTGCTGGCAACTGCCCTCTGCTGTTTGGAATTACCTGCTTGTAATGTACACACACACGTATTTCAATGCAACATTAAAATTTTATTAACACACATGACAACTAAGCCACCTGTCAACAAGTGAGAATAGCCCTCGTATAATAAAAACAAATATTAACACATTAATATTAGTTTGGGCCACATCATAGCTAAAGCGGTTAGTGGCTGGCTTCCCACTGCGGTGGCCCGGGTTCGATCCCGGGTGTGGTCAAGTGGGATTTGTGGTGGACAAAGTGGCGCTGGGGCAGGTTTTCTCCAAGTACTTCAGTTTACCCTGCCAATCTTCATTCCACCAATTGCTCCACAATCACCCTCACCTATCATCTGGGGCTGGTACAATAGGCCAGAAGTGGCCGCAGTACAAGGGACTTAGTCCCAACCCACTAGCAATAAAAAAGAAAAAATATTAGTTTTATTTACTTATAGATTGTCATGTTGACACCTTCATTAGTACCCTCATTTTTTTTTCCTTGGCACTACAGCCCCAGTGGGCCTAGGCCTACCTCCATGAACTCCATTCACTTCAGTTTTTCTAGATCTTACACATACGGTAGGACTCCTTGGGCGAGTGATCAGCTTATCGCAACGCCTCTACTTGTAGACAAACACACAAAAACGCACACAAACATCCATGCTGAGTGGGATTCGAGCCCACGATCCTGGCTTCCGAGCGAGCGAAGACAGTGCATGCCTAGTACCCTCATATGGTCTCTTATTTTGCTTATATGGTTTAAGAAATCTTGTTGTGTATCAAGTTTTATGAAGTTAGGGAATGTATACACAACATACTAATTCTGGCATTTCTGTACTGTTACTGCCTCCTAATTTTAAAAACATTCTTTGTTTACTTATCCCCAAAACCATCTCCAAGTATAATTACAAGGATCAAGTCAAGGAGGATGAGGAGGGCAGGGCATGTAACACAAATGGGAGAGATGAGAAATGCATATAGGATATTGGTCGGAAAGCCAGAAGGAAAGAGACCACGGGAAAGACCAAGGCGTAGGTAGGTGGACAATATTAAAATGGATCTTAGAGAGACAGGATGGGATGGTATGGATTGGATTGATCTGGCTCAGGATAGGGACCAGTACAGGGCTCTTGTGAACATGGTAATGAACCTTCAAGTTCCATAAAATGCTGGGATGTTCTTGAGTAGATGCAGAATTGGCGGCTCCTCCAGAAGGGATGAGTTCCATGAGTAGGTAATTAAGTAAATATTAAGCAAGTTGCACTTGAAATGTGAGCAGAAATGAACGTAGATCTTCATATAAAAGTTTCCATTATTTCTGCTCAATTTAACCAGAATTTTAATGAATCAACAAATTTTAGTTAAATGCCCTAATATAAAATTTCATGCAAATCTGTTCAGAGATTCTGTACTTCTTACAAGAAGACAGATGGGCAGACGTGGCAATGCTGATAGGTGTATATTACTACAACTTTTAACTGTGAACAAACAAAAAAGTGTCTACTAAGTTCAGTGAAGTTCAATCATTATTCAGAAGTATTAAAGCTAATGATAGTAAACCGAACAGGTTGAAAAGAATGAAAATGACATATAAGAATGTGAGCATAACTGTTTAAAAAAAAACAAAATCAACCCAAAATCACAGGGGCACGCAGTAGCGTAGTGGTTGAGGAGCTATGCTACAAGCTGGAAGGTTGCGGGTTCAAGTCCCAATGAGGTCATTGGATTTTTTTCAGTTGACTAGGTCGTGAAGGCCCATAGGGTTGTGAGACGTTGAGGGTCCCACATTATCCAGACAATCGACTCAAAGATGGCGGTAAGGTTTTCAGCCCTACGCACCGGCCGTGCTTTACTCCCCAGGAAAATTATTTAATTAATTCCTGGTACTCATTTCTGTTAGAGGCTAAGTCTACCCCAGGGCCATAGTGTGGCTGGAAGGATTAGGTAAATTGAAAAAATATTCAATGACCTCATCAGGATTCAATCTGCGATCTTCTGGCTTGTAGCATAGTGCCTCAACCAACTATGCTACTGCATGCCCCCCTTCTTCCCACATCTTTTCATTTTATTATTAAATAACAATTCTGTAACACCATATTGTCTGGGATGCTGACATCACTATTAAATAACACATTATGTTAAAGATTGTTCAATATTACTAAATGGGTTATGTACCTTCAACACACAGATCCTCTTCTTGGAAGCCCGAAAGAGGTCCCACTGGGCCTGAATCAAATCCATCAACTGAATCTACAGGAACAGCGCCATTTGATAGTGGCAAAGCAGTGTGAAATTTGGACAGCTTTGATGGTGAGACTGAAGATGGGGAGGCTCTTCCTTTGTCCTTCTGTCCTGTGTATTCAGAAAGGAGCAAGAAAACATTTTCTCTCAACACATTCAAGGAGTTATATGTCAACAGTATAATATTTATACACATTCTGAGTGAATCAAAACAGTAGTTTAGTAAACAGATAAATGATATACAAACAGTGAAAGAAGAAATGTCAAAACAGTACTAAGAAGGAAACAAGAAGAAATAAACTTAAAATGAGAATCTATTACAAGATCTTTAATTTTAAACTGAATTAAGCTAATGGTATTATTACTAAACTAAATAAATATTACACAATAATGATACTTAATAATCACATTCCATATATTAATAGAGGTTAGCTCTTTCTAACAGACCCAGCAGATGACTCCCACCCCTTCACCTTTGGATGGAACCAGAATCAACCTGCAAATCATTGTTCTTTAGAATACCAGATGATGGCCAAAATCCAAAACCCCAGTAATTCTGAGGGCTATACACCATTATCAGAACCCTTTGGAATCTACTTTCAAAGTAGTTTGTTAGCTTATTTCCACTCCATCATGTTTTATGGTGAAATCTCTTGCAGAAACAAGCATACAACCAAACACCCAACCGAAAAGCATTACAATAATGGCAGGTCTTAAAAAATCAGTCCCTTGAAAGAACTTGTTCATGAAGTCTAATATATTGTATTTCCCCCCCTACCAGAAATTTCATACTCTCACTACCGTCATTCATTGTGGACAAAAAGGAAATATCTCCAACAAATCCAGGTATACACAACAGAAACATAAAACACAAATATCACTTCCATACGTCAAATGGTAACCTCAGTAAATATCACAGAAGTGTTCTATATAGGAATGAAGTTATTCTGTAAACTTTCTTTCACCATTAAAACTGAATCACAGTACAAAAGTACATTAAGTTGCGTTGTATTTAAGCATCCTGTTGCATTAATATATATTCTGTGTAGCTGGTTGAGGCACTATGCTACAAGCTAGAAGGTCGCAGGATCAATTCCTGATGGGGTCAATGAATTTCTCAATTGACCTCAGGCTTCCAGCCACAATATGGCCCTGGGGTTGACTCAGCCTCTAACAGAAATGAGTACCAGAAATATTCCTGGGTGTAAAAGGAGGCTGGAGCATAAGGCTCATAATCTTGAGCTGACTGTCTAGAAAATGTGGGAGCCTTGACAGCTCACAACCCTACAGACCTCCAAGGCCTGTTATAGGGATAGCTTTGCCTTCTCTTTACACACATATTTCTGTCTTAAATGCACCTTATTATCTAGCCATCCTTCTCCACTTTAAATGCTTTCAAAGGCATCCTATTGGAATCCTTGTAGTATCTGCTATATTTCCATACCAAATCAGTGTTTCCACCTCTAGATCCTGATTCAGATTTTACTGTACAGCAGTGAACTAAATTGAATGAAGTCAAAAGAAATTATAAATTACAGGATATGTAAATTACTTGGTGCTTGTCATGCTTCAGTGAAATGCATTCATTCGCAAAACATGTATACAAGGAAGCACAAGCAGCACAGAGAAGTACAAACTGTAAATTACACTGAATAGAGCTCCCTAGTAAATCTAACATACCTATGCAAAGACAAAGATAAAGCTATCCCTGTAACAGGCTACAGATGCCCATAGGGTTGCAAGATGTCAAGGCTCCCACATTTCTAGACAATCAGCCAACAGGGAACAGTGAGGTTGTCAACCTTATGCCCTTGCTGCCTTCTACCCCCAGGAAGACTCCTAGTACTCATTTTTGTTAGAGGCTGAGTCAACCCCAAGACCATAGTGCAGCTGTAAGGATTAGGTCAACTGAAAAATCCAATGACCTCACTGAGAATCAAACCAGTGACATACCAGCTTGTAGCACAGTGTCTCAACCAACTACATTACCACATGCTCCCCCATACCAACATAAATGTAATAATACTCAGTGAGCTTATTACAAGGAATGGATTTGTGACAACTATTGACAGTGTGTAATGGATCATATTGATAACACAAGGCAATAATGAAAATAAATTACTTTTAAATAATGCAATATAGTAAACCCACCCAAAGTAAGAGCCACAAGGTATTTTTTTAAATGTATCTATAATGTCATCAAATGAAATTAATAAGTCATAACTAAACATGTTAAAATTTTTAACAACTGTTTTCTTAAAAGCAATTATTATGAATAAGAGAACAACACACTCACGGAACATGTGAGTTATACTTCAATTACGGAAGAAAACACTGTCTTGACCCTTTACAAAAATGTCTTTGAGTCATTAATCATTTGCACCTATCTCCATAAATTCTAAACTTCCTTTAAAGCGGAAGTTAAACTCTCCAAATGTCAGGAAAATTATTAAATACAGCATATAATTTCGCTCGACAATTAAAATAAACCTCAGCAGCCAGTTATACATAAAAGTAAGGTTAGGAACGATCACACTTTTAAAAGTCTTCCAAATTAAAGCTAAAACATGAGTTGGTAAATTAAACTAAGAATGGCCATCACATTATCAAACTATAAACACAACAAACTAACCGGATTTCTTCCAAAATTGAAGCATTTTTCATTTTATTAGTATGACATTGACAGCCACAAGGACATCTCCCATTTCATATCCACCCGTCGAATACGTTTCGCAGTACCATCAACAGAACATTAGATAGCGTCGACTGCAACAAATGAGGAATTTCACATAATAAATATACAAAGATTTTATTTCCCCGCGGTACTGTCGCCGCGTCAGCTCATTAAAAAAATCACAGTTCGTGAACATTACTTTAATATCCAAAGCTAAGAGCGGCACTCCCACATCATTACGATATATCGAATGTATATACTTGACCAATCGAATTTCCCGGAAATTATTAGCACAACACGTTCTTCGCCGTTGTTCGCGTTCGCGGTAGGGATGTATGGATTACAGTCAATTCAAACTGGTGGAGAACAGACTGTCAAGAGGCGGTCAGAGAGCCAACAAAATATTCTGAAATGTATTTAAACGAGTTTAGTCACATCATAAGTCACTGCCGATGGAACGTTTTAACATGTTGACGCGTTGCTGAAAGTACAAACAAGCTACCGTCACCGTCACATCGGCATTCTCTGGTGACGTGTTAAAACTTTGTTGAAAACAGAGAAATATTAACAGTATGAACAGGGGTGCTGGCCGGAACAGCAAACTAAGTATCGCCTGCCACCCCAGGTTTTTTAATCAAAATTCAGGAAAAGAAAGTATACCAAATGCTAACATTTACATTTATTTTTCACTTCATGGATCCTATCATCTCCCCATAGGGGTGGATATAAAACATGTCACATATTGCAAATTCATGATGACTACACATCCTTCGTCCTTGGTCCAATGAAATATATAATCAGGCCTCACATAGATAGCTCAAGTTGTCAGGACAACACACATAGGTCGTGGAAAAACCCCTGTCAAATTCACACCTTGCCATTCCACACACTGGCAGGCCATATCATCCAAACAGTTACATTATAAAATATTAAAATTCATAACAAAAACAGGCATCATATATACTACTACACTTACAACAAGCAAGTCTCAACAATGTATATTCATGCACACATACCATTTATTAACTCTTAACTTTTGAGCCCCTTGCATGCTCGACAAATTCATCAATACGGTAAAATGCGTTACTTGCAAATAATTTCGTAAAACAATCCTAAATTGCTTTTTATCATTTTTTAAAATTGTGATATTTGACGATAGAGAGTTAAATAGTTTGACGCCTGAATAATACACCCCTCTCTGATAGGATGATATATGTGTTGAAGGTGGTCATTCCTTCTGGTACCAATCACACATACAGAGTTATTGGTTTGAAAGTTATCCAAATTATTAACAACAAATGTCATCAATAAGAGCAAATATACACATGGGATTGGTAGTATGTCAAGCTTTTTAAATAAGTCTCTACATGTATGAGTTGGGCCCACTCCCATCATTATTCTTATTATTTTCTTTTGTATAACAAAGACCTTATGACTGTCATATGTATTTCCCCAATATATTATTTCATATTTCACCAATGAATGATAATATGCATAATACACAGCTTTAAGAGTTTATATTTAATACATAGGATAATTTTCGCATTAGAAAATCAACTGTGCTCAACTTGTGAAGCAAAAAATTGATATGTCCCATACAAGTCAAATGACTGTCCAGCTGCAAACCGAGAAATTTTATCGTTTCTACTTCTTTCAGCTCTTTGTTGGGCCCACTCCCATCATTATTCTTATTATTTTCTTTTGTATAACAAAGACCTTGGGGAGTTAAGCGCGGCCAGCGCGTAAGGCTGACAACCTTACCCCCCAAATAAATCTTGGTGGCCTCCATGAATATATGCCATAGGAGCTACAGCAGCTATGTAAAGAAGGAACATATCAGAAAATACTGTAACATTTCTTGTGGGTTGGTTTGCCTTTAGATTTTCAATTTGTGAATGCAAACTTTTGATGCTCCTCTACAAATAGCATGAAACATGGGGATGGATGAGCAAATTAGGCCAACTTCCAATGAAAAAATTATGCAAAATTAATATAGCAACTCTTAGGTTATAAGATAAAGGATAAACATCCATTCTGTTCAATTATGAAAACCCCAAGACTTCGTGAAATAGTGCATTGGACACGAAGTGTGTGTTTCATTTTTTTTTTTACATCTGTTCAAAGCATTTTCACACCATTAAATATATGGCTAGTTACGTTGAGGATGATGTAGAAACATAGGACTTAATGTAAAGAGTCCATCAGAGCTGCATGATTTTAACCAAAAAATGTAAGAAGACAACAAATTTTAGTAAAACTACTCAGTATCAAATTATATGAAAATCCATTCAGCATTCATTTTCAGAGTAGTTACATGTGAACAGACACAAAGACATGGCAAAGCTAATCAGCACATTTGCGCAAATTTACCTTGTTACTTCTGGATCATACACTTCAATTAAATAATTTTCCTGGGGAGTAAAGCGTGGCCGGCGCATAAGCCTGACAACCTTACCGCCATCTTTGACTCAATTGTCTTAGATAATGTGGGACCCTCAACGTCTCACAACCCTATGAGCCTCCACAGCCAGTGACAGGGATAGCTTTACTTTTTTTTTACTTTTACATACACTTCCTTCTATATCTTTTCTTGGGCCATTTGAAACATCAGCCACTTCTTGTTCTGATTTACTGTCATTTAAATTTGTTCCTGTAAAACTGAGATTTGGAACAAAATGTATGATTTTATTTAATAAATTCTCCATAGCTAACTGCTGATTTTTCCCATTGGTATTTTTATTTCCCTGTCTCTTCAGAATATCTTGAATTTCATTAACAGGTTTAATTAATTGTCAGACAGAAGCAGGGATGAAACTAGCCTTGTCTATTGATACCATGTAGAGTAAAATATTCAATTTATCTTCCAACCAAAGAAATGATGACTCCATTATGATTACACTCTAGTCCACCTCTTCTCACGTATTTCTGTAAAATCCTTTCAACATCATCCTCTCATCTACATTTAAGAATCACATGTGGTCCTTTCCATTCATGTTTTCTATTAAATATTTTTTATGCATTTCTTATCTCTACTGTTCATGCTAAATGACCCACACATCTCATCCTGCTTCATTTGATTACCTTAACATTTGGTGAAAGTTACAAATGATCATGCTCCAAATAATGCAATTTTATCCACTTTTCTGTTAGTCCGCTTCTTCCCTCGTGGGGCCAGACATTCTTCTCACCATTTTTTTTTTCCAAGGTGAGAGACCAAGTTTTGTACCAGTACAGAGCAACAGATAAAATTATAGTTCTGTATATTTTAATCCATACTTATAGACAAGAGACAGGAAGATAAACCACTCTAAATGAATAGTAGCAAACATTCTCTAAATTTTAACTCCACATATATTCTTCAGGTATATAATTTTGATTTGTTATTATTCATAAATATCATTTTGTCTGCTGGGAAGGAAATTTTTAAAATCTGTGTGTCATCCTGGAAAATGAATACTCAAAGTACAAAACTGGAAAACTTTATTTGAAGACCACAGTCAAAATTTGCACTCTCCTGTACAATGCAAAACATTCCACAATTTACAGATATATGAAATTTACAAAAGGTATTGGAAAAATAGTCTAAATACAAAATATAAACATAAAATATGTACACATGAACTTCTGCATTGGCAAAGATACTTACAAAAGTAATACAGTAGTGCCAATTAGTAACGTTCTTCTAGTTTTATAGGATATTAAAATATATCAAAACTACAAACAGATGTATTAAAACTGATTATATCATATTTCTATCACTTTATGCCATTCTTACATTTTAAGTATGGCAAGAATATGGTTATATATAATATGCATTTCCCTTCATTACATTGTAAATTAAAGTCTTCTTTATTACAATACTCTACTTGAAATACTGAAATGTTTATACCATAACAGAACAGACCTTATACCCCTGTAATCCTTTTTCATTTCTTCATACATTCTTAAAGTAAAAATGTGCCTACAAAAGCACACTTACATATACATATACACACACAGATATATGTATATGTATTTATATATAGATGCAAATCATCTGATTGAGCAGTTACTGGAGAAAAGATTTAACATGTCTTCAGTGTTTATAGGTAAACTTCTTTACTCTAATCAAATACTGGATGAGCGTTAAATTGTTAACAATGGACAAACGTTGCGTCAATGTGCTGGCTGGTCAGATACATCTCGCATAAGAGGACAGATACATATGAAGCATCTGTGCAATATTGGCTGGCAAAGAGACACCAAAATACTTAAAGTGAAACCTGTTCCAGTGCCTCTCTGTCCACCACAATTACAAGGATTACCCTGGACCCTCAGAATCCATCATCCAACTTGCCAAGTTATAACATGGATATTCTGTATCAGTATCTCCGTATTTCGAACAATCTATTGTAGTGTAAAATATAACTGAGACTGATGTAAAAACTTATTGAACTTTATGTAAAATTCACAAGTTAAAACACAGTTTCTGTGTTAATCCTGAACACAACTAAGAGAATTGTAGTGTACTCTAATATACCATGTACTTAATGAATACTAAAAGAGATTCTCTTTTCAATAAGTTAAGTATCACAGTTCTTAAAATTAGTCACTCTTGGTTGAAGCATGTTGACTATTACTGCATATATGTTTTAAGAGTTTGTTAAAGTGTCATTGATGCTCATTCTGCCATTCTCCTCATGGCTGCGCAGCAGTGGAGTGTCCTCACCCTGCAAAGGGGCAACATGGCGGACAGGATGGATCGGTGAGTATTCAGACAAATGACTGGAGTCTTCACAAGGTAAACATGGCAAGTACACATGCTCTGCGGTGCCTGACCATCGTCGGTACACCATCATGTTCAACAATGCCTGCAGAGGATTCATCACTGCCTGAAAATTACACTTTCATCCTGTTTATGTCTGTCACTTTACCTTTGCCACATACATATCTAAATATAAGAAAATTGATATTCTGCCAGTTCATGTAGAGATTCACTTTCAATTGTGGTAAACATATTAAGACTACAATCTTCTGACATGTGATTCATGATATTAATACCCACTATAATTATAATTTATGCTTACCCTCTACAAATTTATCAATAGTACAAAAAGGAGTGCTGTTCTCTGGAAGCAAGATTTATAATCACTTACGTTTGAATATTAAATTGTTATCTAAAGATCTTAAGCAATTCAAATATTTATTGAGAAGCTATAGGCAGAAAAAGATAGGCAGCGGCACACGCACAGAGAGCCTACACAGAACAATACCTGAACAGCGATAAAACAACAAGTGGCCGCTGCAGCACTATAGACATACGGCGAGTACCCCGAGGAATTTTAATTTTTAAAATTTGGAAAAAGAAAAAGAACGGAAAATTTAAAGACACTTTAATTTGAATTGAAGTTTTAAAAAGTGCCAATTTTGGAAATCAAATTGACGTGTGTAGGTTAACAAAGATTTTATACATACATACAATTGGAAAGACTGGTGTTTTTAAATTTTAAACTACGGGCAGTGTAGCAGCTACGTAAGAATATACACCTGATGATGGCCATTTAGGGCCGAAACATGTAGTGTAGAGGAAGGAAAGAAGAAAGAACTACAATTAAATTGTTGCACTTAAGATGGAGTTTGTCTCATATATTGTGTGAGTGTAACAGGATGCTTAAATATAATATTAGAAGCTATCTCACTGAACATGCATTTTATAGCATTGATGAATTTTACAAAACAACTTCCCAATGAATGCCTTTACATTATTTAGTTAATAGTTGTAACCTACTTCTATTACCATATTTGTATTAATTCTATGTAAAATTGTTTCAGATGGCTACTGTAAGATTTATGACATGTGTATGAGATTTATTGTTATACTATTGTTTTATATTTATAATGAGAGTTTCTATATCCTATAGGTCATTTGACCTTCTATGGATTAATGGAATGTAATTAAATAATAATAATAATAATAATGCCATGCAATTTGGTAGAGAGTATCACATCACAGAAGACCCTAATATTAACACTCATCACAGTGAGAACCTCAGATCTCACTGTAAATGAATTATCTGAAACAGGATTTAAGCCCTCTCCCCAGTACTGTGGTGCAAGTAGCTGGATTTTAATCCTGGATAACAGAATTTGTACTGATAGAATGTGATGCTATGCCTTCTTGGCCACGTACTGTCACAATACTGTATATCATGGCATATTACAGTTAAAACAAAGAATAAAGTAATGAAGTACTGAGTTTCTTAGCCCACTTCTCTTACATTAAAAGGACAGTTATCATCATGCCTGTCTGCATGGCTGTTCAACACCATGATTTCACTTCTAAGTGTGAGTATCGTGTATCGCTGGTTATGAAATTAATAAAAGCAACAGCAGAAACTACTTTAATTTTTACACAAAACATTTGGGAGCTAATCCACATAAAATATATATAATTGAAACCTATACTTGTACCTTAAGTGGCCTCCGTAGTCTAGGGGTAACTCAAGGTATGCGGTTTCAAACCCGGTGGAGGTCGTGGAATTTTTAAGGGTGGAAAAATTCAGGGAACAAGTCCTCCGGGAGGGACTTTAAGCCACTGGTCCCGTGTCATAGATTTACGACACGTAAAAGATCCTCATGTCTCTAGGAGACCTCTGAGCAAAATTAGGCAACAAGTTTCCCACCCAAGTAGTTTCCAATGCCTCTGGTAGATGGGAGAAATATCAGGTACCGAGGGCCAACCTGGTTGGCTGAACGGGGCTGATAGCACGCACCAGTACCGGTAGGGTATGGCGACAGTAGAAATTAAAGGGAGACGCACAAGGGACCAATAACTGGCCTAAGTGCATGGGGAAAACCACCCTCTCTAATAATAATAATAATAATAATAATAATAATAATATACTTGTACCTTCATGAGATATCAAAGTCACAAGAAGACAGAAATGTGCACAGGCTACTTACACTAACAACTAATAAAATATTAAAATAAATACTCACCATACTATACCACAAAAAAATAATCACACTTTCTGACATGTGAATCCAGAGGGACCAGATCAGCACCCCAAAGATGAGATTCGGAAGCCAGCAAATGTAAAAAGTCAGAATGATGAATAAGAATTTTGTCTTTATTCCATCAACAGCTTTGCGCTCCCTTTGTGTGTACTGTCCAAGTCTGATGGATATCAAGAACCTGGCATCTCGTGTTGAACAGCAGTACAAAATAGGATTGATAATCATGATGGCAGCCACTGGCAAGAAAGTGGCAAAATAATTTGGCAAGATGTGTGTCAGGATCCCTGACAGGGTGTCAATATCATGACAACTGAAAAAGAAAAATGGTATATACCGTATTTACGCATGTATAGGCCGCAGCACAATTTTCAGACAGAAATTATAGAAAAAATAATTTTCTTGGAATATTATTTCAGGAGTAGAAATTATTCCGAAATTTGGCAACGTTAATTTTTTTTAAATGAAGTGTGATTTTGAATATTTCGAATATAAGCCGCACCTGTTTCCCTCTTGAACTTTTGGCAAAAAATGTGCGGCCTATACATGCGTAAATACGGTATATATAATTTTGAAAGTTAATAATCTGTCCTCTGAAGAAACTAAAATGGCATTTTTTGAATATTTCAATTTTGGTTACTACAGATAGTAGTTATTAGCTACAGCACTTGTATGTATGTATGTATGTATGTATGTATGAGGGGTGGGCCACAATCCAGCCCCGGCACCGTGACCAACAATGATATATTGTGCTTCCCCTTTAATTAATCCCTTATTAATCCTACACTTTGAAAAGCTACAACACTTCCACACTCAGCAAATCTTCACATATTGAAGCAGAGTATACAAAAGTTAATCAGAAAGTGAGGCATATATCTTCAAGTGATTATCTGATTCTTAGAGGTGTGTGTGTGCATGTGTGTGTGTATGTGTGAGCGTGCGTGTGTGTAATGAAACATCCTTGCATAAGTTTGAAGTATTTTTGACAAGTTTACGATGAAAAGTTGCAAAAATGCACCAAATAACTTCACTCTGTATATCCGCTAAACTCCAGATTTTCATGAAATTGATATTTAGGGGTTTTATTAAAATTTGTCAAATCATTCAAATTTTCGTTAAATTAGACACTAATGGACAACGGGGTGAAGGCCTATATGTGTTGTATACATCTCCAGCTTAACTTATTACATAATGTAGCATGTAGTAGTATTGCTATGCAATGTTCACAAGAAGGAACATGTGTCACTTGGTAATGGCTGGTAAACATGTCAACAATATCCCAGCTATCACTAGGCAATCACCCATAACAATAGAGGGAATGTTGGAAGTGGTATTTTCTGTTGGGTCCACCCCCAGGCTATATAGCGTGGACCCCAGGCTGGCTGACTTGAGTTCAGTTGGGGAATATTCACCAGACAGTAACGATATGAGCAACGAAGGCAAAAAATCTCCATCAGTAGGATCCATTAACAGGCAACAACTATTGGAGACTGTAACGGACTGAGAACACTAGTGTGTGTGTAACAGTGAACTGTAAAATGTAGTCACGAGTCATGTGTTAAAGTTATCAATAAATTGAGTCACCAATCCATACCCCATCTATAGTCACCACTAAATCATGACAATATTTTATTTACCGGAGCTAAAAGTGTTCAGAACAACATTTGTAGAGAAGAATGAAACACACTTTTTGCATTAAATCTTATATAGTTCTTGAGATAATTATCAAGATATGGGGAACACATTAGAAGTTTTCTGTTATGTATACATTTTCAAACTTGTAAGATTTGAGGCTTTCACGGNATTAGTCATTTTCCTGGTCTTTAAACCAACAGTTTATAGATGTTTCCACATTATTTTCTGTTCTATTTTTTTTTATTGCTAGTGGGGTGGGACTCCCTTGTACTGCGGCCACTTCTGGCCTATTGTACCAGCCCCAGATGATAGGTGAGGGTGATTGTAGAGCAATTGGTGGAATGAAGATTGGCACGGGAAACTGAAGTACTCGGAGAAAACCTGCCCCATCACCACTTAGTCCACCACAAATCCAACTTGACCCGGGATCGAACCCAGGCCCCGCGATGGGAAGCCAGCGACTAACCGCTTGAGCTATAGCACGGCCTTTTCTGTTCTAAGTCTGTGGTCTTTCAGACAGTTCTCTTCTCTTTCCAAATTGCCTCCAAAAGTTCTACTACAATAGCTGCACATTGCTTTAACGGTTGTGGCTAGTGTGTTTACTGACAGGAGAACAGAGTCATTTTCATAATATCTCTGGGTGTTCCCTAATAGGTATGCAGTGGCAATGAGGAAACAGAAAAGTTATATTTTCATTAATATACTAGATTAGGATGGTAGGTGTAGACAGGATTCATCTGGCTCAGAACAGCGAGTAGTGGTGGGCTCTTGTTAACATTGTAATGAATGTCTGGATTTCATAATATGCAGGGAATTTCTTGATTATATGAGCAATTATCAGCTTCTCAAGAAAGATGCTGTTCCATGAAGTTAGTTATTTATTAGATAATATGAAGCAGCAACTTACTTTGCATTAGGAACATACAGAATGAGGAGTCCCATAGATGTGAGCAAGGCAGGGCTTACCCACGCAGTGATGTGATAGCATATGGTATGTTCCGTAAATTCCCTTTGTGACTGAAACATTTGCCTTACATCAAGAGCATAACACAGCGTCCAGAACCACGTAGCAGTGTAAAAGAACTGGATCCATGCCTGCTGGGGCAGAGTAGTATACAATGTAGATGTACAGAGAGCATGGTGTAGTTGTCACCTTCCAGACATCTATTCGGGAGGCACCTGATTCAAATCTCAGCTGGGAGGGACACCATCTACACTGGCCGAAAATGTTCACACTTTTCCTCAATCCTTCCATATGAGGTGCTATCGGAAAGTTTCGGACTGTTATTGTTGTAACTGCCTCGGTGCAAGGAGATGAGAGGGGAGACCAAGGCCACACTTCTGCAAGCCTACTGCATCAGTCTGCAACGTGCCACTGCAATATGAACATGCATTGTTTTTACATGAGTGCTTTCTCAATTTTGTGTTTCGTTTTGTCTGTGATGGATGGCAAAATCGAGCAAGATGTCTGCATCAAGTTTTGCATAAAGCTCTGTAAATCAGCTTGAAATGCTTCATGAGTCTTTTGGAGAACATTCTTTAAGCCAGACAGCGGTTTCTGAATGGCATTCACGTTGCAAGGCCTGCTGAGTGTCAGTTGAAAATGATGAATATTCAGGGCAACCAAGCACCAGCAAAACAGAAAATATTGAAAAAATTTGAAAACTCATCCACAGAGATGGTTGTTGAACAATCCAATAAGCTCACAGACACCAATTTGAACATGTTCTTCATTGCCCTGAAGTTTGTTCCCTGACTTATGACAAATGATCAAAGGCAGCAGCATGTAAATGTGTCTTGAGCTATGAGAGACATTTTGAAACACTGTCTGACATCCAAAGGGAATTGCAAGCGGTACTTGACAGCATTAAGGAAAATTACTTCCAAAGTGCTTTTGAAGTGTGGAAAAAACGATGGTATTGCTGTATACGTTTCCAAAGAGACTATTTTGAAGGAGATGGCAGCCAAAATTGAGTAAGTTAAGGAAGAATTTCTTTTTTTATCTAGTCCGGGAACTTTCCAGTAGTACCTTCATAAGACTATGACCACATTCTTCCAAATCTTCCAATTTAGCAGTCATTCTACCATTTGACACTATATAGTATAGAGATTGATAACATCATAAAATAAACCAAATAAAATGGAGAGCATGGAGAATATCATCATTTGATTGAGCTGAGTAATCAGCAGCCTTCTTCTTGAAAAAAAAACTGAGACCATTACTTTCACTGGTTACATAGCAGAGAACAATTCTACCACAAATTGAAACCCAAAGTAGAGTACTAACAAAGATGCAGTTTAGAGAATGCTAATCACTTGGGATATGAATATTTTTCTGTGTCTGCACCATCTTGTGTAGGTAGAGGACATGTGAGTGACCAGTCCCCTCTCCAAGAAGTCCTACCAGTTACAAAAATTTACAGTTTTGGAAGTTAATTCTGATCAGATGGCCTAATTCACTATGATCACTCCCTGAATTAAGAAGTTTCCACTTGCAAACATTTGACATACAAATGTTAACTACACTATTAGATTTGAGGTTCTCATAGTGGTAAGTATTCAAGTCACACTCTTGTGTGGTGATACTATGCAGTTTGGTAGACAGGTACTTATGTTTCGGAGGAACCTGCTGCCTCCACCCGGGTCCATCATGAGGTTATGTAGGTGGATATCAATGCTTCAGAGAACTATGTTGCTTCCATCTTTACAATACACCATATACTCTTGTAGGTAGATACCAATGTTTTAGGGAAAGATTTTGCCTTCATTTTCAGGGTCCTCCCTGTATTCTTGTAGATGTGTATCAGTGTTCTGGAGTAACGTGCTGCCTCCATCTTCAGAGTATACCATGTAATCTTGTAGTTGGATCCCAACATTTCAGTGGAATGTGCTGTCTACATCTTTGGGCCAACCCTGAAGATGGAAACAGCATGTTTCTCATACATGTTGATATCCAACTAAAAGACTACATAGTGTCACAAACCAAAAGACTACAACCTGAATATTTAATGCACTAATCACCTCAAATCTTATAACAAGTTTAGATCATTATTCCAGCACCAGTGTTCTAAGGTGTTGGCTTGTCCTATAATATCAGTACACAAACAGATCACCATCATGATTCTCCTTTCCTTTTCCAGTGAACAGATGTTACAGCATCAATTTTCTTTGTAAGAATGGGTGGTAACAAAATAACACAGATCCTCTTTCACTTTGTTAAATGTAGAGCATCAAATCTGAGCACAGAAGAGGAATAAATGGTGTGACTTACAGAGGATATGGCACAGAAGACAACATTGGAGAGGCTGTCATTGGCAGCTGGTATGAAGTCTTTGATGCAGATCCACAGGATAGATCGGACAAACACACCTGTAGTACACCAAACACAATCAAGGATAACATTTTGAAGACAACCTACATCTTAACTCCGAAAATTTCACATGCAGCATACTGCTTCCTCTTCATTACTTTCCTGTTGGATGTTGCTTATTAAACACAAGGTTACTTAACCTCTTAAATGATAGTGGTAACATTCAAGAACTCTATATCTTCTACACATGTAGTGATTTTATAGCTTCCACATAATTTTCGGAATAAACGGTGACTATTTCCCTAGACAGCATTAAGTGGTCGAGCTTTGTAATAGGAATCCAACGTTTTCCTATGAGAAAGAAACCATACTTTTAAATATGATTTACATGAACTTCAGTCTTTAAAGGGTTGTCATCTATTTCTGCTGGCTTCCTGCTTTGCCTCCTCTTTGAGCCAGCAGATGGAGGCAGTACAGTCCTCTAGAATGCCAGGCTTTCTCCAAGCTACACAGTGTTACAACACCCAAGACAAAAATATTATTTAAATAAAAATAATATATATTGTTTATATATACATATCAATCAACACAACAATCAAATAAACAACTCACTTCCATATTTGTGTCACCTGAGTTTATTTAACTTATGGTTTAGCTATACAACATGTTACATGGAGCCATCATCAGGCTACACAACATATAGTCATAAAATAGCGAATTGTAACTCTTATATTCATTCATTCATCTGTAATCTGTCAAGACGACAGGTCCACAGTCTCTTCCAAAACAGTTCCTCCACTTGATGCGATCTAGAGCTTTCTCCTTCAAATGAAAATATCCTCTTCTGTCCCCAAGGTCATCCAGCATCTTCTTACGTCTTCTTCCTCGTCTTCTGGTCACTTCTATCCGCCCCGCTATCTTTCCTTCAATAACTTCTTTTAGAAGGCAGTTACCGCATAAGATATGACCAATCCAATTAGCCTTCCGTTTTCTTGTTTCGTGCAGGATATTCCTCTGCTCACTGACTCTAAATAACACTTCTTCATTTCTCACATAATCAGTCCAACTGATCTAACTCTTATATATATTATATAAAATGATTTACAGAATAATTTGTACCGTTTTATGCACAGATTAATTCTGCTTGTATATAAAGAGTTTGATTATGCTAATATAAGATATTGGAGAACCCCAGATGTGTGACAATACCTTTTTTTAAAGATGTGTCCAAATTTCAACAGTTGTGCCAAAGTATTTCAATTTTTCTTTGTTTTACACAGGTTTACATCACACTACAGCAACATACGATAGGCATTCTCTTACCAACTGATGCCATCAGGTCTGCCACAGCAAGCCACAACACAGTCCGCCGACTTCTTGCAATAGAGATTCCATATGACCGCTGTAACCCATTTGTATGTCTTCGTGGAAGAATCTAAGAAGCATCAAGAGAATAAAAATGCTACTGAATATAGTACATGAAGCCAGGCAGTCAAAAGCAGTACCTAATTTCAGGGTAGGAAATTTTCCCAATTAGTGGTCTGCAGACTAGCTTAATTTATGCTGGTTCACAGCATATACTCACTTCCATCCAGTGCTGATAAGAATATGTGTATATTTATCTCCACTCCCCCATACATGACCATGGTTTGAAGCTTAATCTTTAAAAGAGGAGCAGTTAGTACAGGAGGCTATTCAACAGGCTGCTGCAAATCATTTAGCTTGGGCAGCAAAACAGGAACATAGTCCTCACTATTTTTACATGTATTTGGAGCTTCAGTGCAACTGACAAGCCCACAGGCTAAAAAAATACAAACAGAACCCACCCAGATCATAACGGATGCCAAAAATGATTCCTGCCGTTACATACTCATTCCATCCTCCTCCACACATTGTTCAAGTTTATGCAATGAAGTTTATTTTTGGAAACAGAACATGCTTGAAACTTGAAGACATATTGAAACCTCAGTTTCTTCTGCAGGGTATCTAGAGGATTTTTAAGTGGTATGTTCAAGCCTAGCATTAATTGAATCCAGTTTCTCTTCAGTGAGAACCTTCCATTCTGATTATCTTCTTTTAATGCAATAAGAACCCTGTCAGTTTAAATTTATTTAGCATTGCATGAATAAATTTGGTTTAGAATTGTAACATTCTGAAATTTATGTTGAAATATTTTTCTCCCATTTTACATGGGTATAATGCATGAACACTTGTTTAAATGTGTAAATCTTATGTGCCATTTCAATACAAGAAGTAATGTATCTGTCTGACTGGATATATAGTATTGTAGAATGGAGAGAGCCATTACTAGGTTTAGGCATAGTAAACAACTTAGCAGTGTAACATTGACTACACACACACACACACACACACACACAACAGGATCATAACATTTCCACGGTGCTGTCACACGATAGGAGAGCAACAGGAAGAGGTGTTGCCACGCAGTCTGGCACCAGGTAGACAGCGCCACTGCAATGGAACACATGATACCACGCCACCCACATCAACAGGGGGTAGGTGTTTGGGTCCACTCCGAGGCTATATCACTTGACCGAGTTGAAGCGAGTTAGCGGACATGAGTCAAGTTAAGTTGAGTTGAGCTGAGTTGAGCTGAGAGTTTAGCAGTTGGAAGCCAGCTAGTTCAGTTCAGGAACTGCAGTCAGACAGGTGACAGCCAGCAGAGACATGATGCTGTGAACATTGAAGTTGAGGGATCTACGGCACTGCAAGCCATTACCAGACACCCAGTGAACACACAACAAACTGAGAAAACTTAGTACATGCCGTAGTGAACTGCAGAGTGTGTGTAAATTAGTGACAGTGCTATAGTTACTTGTAGTTATGTTCTGTAAGTGTTCAATAAATCAAATTACCAAATCCAAAACCTGTCTACAGTCATTCTATCAAGTGAAAATGTAGTAATGAAGGCTGGGAATTATGACTGACAGCACATAAGATGTGTGATAGCTGTTCAATGATTTATTGTGGTATGGAACAGTTTTACCCTTACACCTTTCAAAGAACACAACTGAAATTCTATAAATGATGTCAGTGAAAATTTAACATTAATTTATCAGACAAAAGGAAAACTGAGTCAACTGAATTGTGGATCCTATGTTAGGTAGCTGGTTGCACTCTTGTACATAAAGAGTGAAATGTAGATATACATTCAGAATTAAAATTATGTAGCTGTGAGAATATAGAATTATACAGAAAATTGGCATGAAAATACGTTAAGAATAACAGATAGACTCCCAAAAATATTACTGGATTATAAACCCAGAGGGTAACAATATATCAGATGATCCACAGCTAGAAAGGATGATACATTCTCTTGAAGTCAGAAGAGGATAATAGGTCTACAACATTTAAGCAGAAGAAGCCATTATCACAGCTGGAAATTGCTGAGTCATTCCAGGAAAACCCAGCTCACACAGTGAACCTTGGAAGTCTATGACTGAGATTAAATTTGGCATGCATATTGGCCCCATGGTCTTATTGCATTCTATTTTTTTCTCTTGTTTCAATTTCTACCAAGGGGTTTTTAAAATACAAAACATTAAAAAATGTTTAATCACTTCTCTAATATGCACTTTGAGAAACATTCTAGAGTGCAATGCATGGTGTATTAAATTTCACTTATAACCATATATAAACATACTTGTAAAGCTTCACAGCTGTAACTGGTCGTATGGCATGAATTTCTAAATTAATTGCAGAGAACCAGCATCTGGGATTTGTTTGAAACTTCTCACAACTTTCAGTGAACATACCAGTCTCAAATGGTTCAAAAATAATTCTGGGACCACAAGAACTTTGTAGGCCATAATGAGTTCTGTAAATAAGCTGAATATCCTTTCTGGTTCTGCATTTGAATACACACAAAATTCTTCCTATTTCTGTAGAGAGATACTGCCCCCTGAAAAACATATTCTTACTTCTTACTGTTTTTTTTTAACATTTTGCACAATTTCTTTCAGATATGAAATTAGGCTCTTCCGAAACATAAATATGGCAGAATAGTTTGTTAAGAAGCTGGAGATAATGGCATAGCACCGATGTAGTAATTCTCCTGCTCCAGAATTCAAGTTTCTGAAATGGCATGTAGGTGGAAATATGGAGGCTTGCTGATTGCTCCAGTGGAACCCATGACCCGCTTCTTATATAATAAATGAATACTCGTACTCTGTAGGAACATTACCCATGGCAACAACCTCATCTCTCATACAACATTTCCTATAAACACTGACTGCTGGTGAGTGACAAAATCATGTGTTTGCAGTTTTCAATGGAGATGCCACCAAGTTCTTCAGTTGGAGAATTAAGAGTTTCAAGAATACATCTGTTTGTTGTTATCTATCATTTGTATGTGGCTACAAAAATAATACTGGAATATGACATGTCTTATGATGTCCTTCGCACAGGCCATTCTCCTGGACATGAGAAAACATCCCTCTGTGGGTGGATAATTATTGCTTCTATTTTGCAACATTCGTTTTTACATAAAGCTGCCACTATTCAGTGACATTATGTACAGTACTACCTACCGTAAAACCTGAAAAATGTGCAAAATGTTTAAAAATTCATTACAGTTTCCAAAGTTCTTGTAGTCCCAGAACTATTTTACACAGCTGACACTTGTAAGAAGTTTCAAACAAATCCAGATGCTGCTTTTCTGTAACAAATTTCCAAAGTTCATACCATGCAACCATTTAGAACTCTGAAGTTTTGTGAAGTTGTGAGGTATATTTATGTATAGTTAGAAACAAGATTTCATAAGCCTTACAATGAGCTCTAGAATGATTCTCTAAGTACATTATCAAAGATGCTAAAGAAGAAAAACCCTGCAGATATACCCTTCTTACCCCAGTGTGGTTTATTTTTTTAACATTCTGTATTTAAAAAATGACAGAAATTATTTATCTTGTGTTCCATGTTCTGTGTTACATGCCTGTTTCACCTAACCGTCTCTGATTAACTTATCGTTAAGGGTACACGGTATTAAACAATTTTACATATTGATCACGGTATTAGGCCGCTTTAGCATAAATCAGCATGAGGTTAAAGGTTGCCTGACTTTAAGAACCAATAAAATGCCAACAATGTCCACTGGTTATGTAATTGTGCTCCCGCCTGCAAATAAAACATGTAATGAAAACATGAACGAACATGAATACCTGATATACCGCGCCGAAGATTCCAAGTAATGATGAAAACACACAAACACTATTGTAGAAGTCCGAATGAAATTCCATTAAAACATGAACAGGGTAGTCCGATCTATTTGGACGATGACAGCAAAAAGTTTGTATTGCCGGATCAGCCATTTCCTTACCGGCACATTTCTACTACAACTAAGTTCCCGAAGTTAAACAGGTGACAGAGTAAGGAAGAACTGCGCATGCCTGAAGCAAAGAACAAAGATGGGAATCTGTCAGTTAACAGATACGGCTGAAATTTGTTTATGGACTGTGGTTAAATCTTAACGTTATTTAATGAAGCGATTTCTTCTCCATATCAGTAATTAACAGAATGTCGCAACCATCTTCGGGTTCATACAAGGCTGTAAGCAAAAATTAGCTACACCTGGAGGACAGTAGAATCACCGGATGAAGAATAGGACAACCAAGAAAAAGTTCAAGCGATCTGTAGACTCGTAATAAGTTCCTTAGCCTAATACGTGAGAAAAAATAAGAATATTAATAGGAAGATGATATATTTCCGTTACCAGTATCAAATCATCATTAAAAATAAAATTCAATCAAATAACAGAAATGATGGAACTATTTTTAGTCTAAAAAAGTAAACGTGTCAGGATGAACATTTGAGCGATAGGAGATAAAGAAGAATTAACTGCAGAAAATTATGTACATGGAATGTGAAAAATTTCGCAGCACATCGTTTTATAATATAATTGATAACTCTGTTATACAAGAATGAAGAAATATAAGGTCTTCACTGTTTGAAAGTATATTAATAATTGTTGAATTGTCAGTAAACTCTGATTTACAGTATACGGCTGCTCTTTTGTTATATTATTAAAGAAACTTTAAAAAAGAAACCACTGTCATTTTTCGTGCAATTCTTATTTTATCGTTGCACCTCCGTCACTGGTCATAAAGGTTATGTAGCCGTCTACCTTTTTGTGGTGGGTTGGGGAAAATGGAGGGCGTCGCGTTGAAGCGCCACTTGTAGCTGCTCGCTGGTTATCGCTAGGTTCGTAGTTGGAACTCACCTGAGCTGGGTTTATCCTTACCTCTGTCCTTTCCGTAGGTGTTGAGAAAATTGGTTGAGTAGGATGAGGGAATTGTTTTGGGCGCCAGTATTTACCAGGCGGTGGTAGCCACAAATTTCTAGGATGCCTTCTGGTAAGGATAGATAAGATGAACAGCTCAGGCTTGGGTCTGGTAAAGCAGGAGCTCTGTCCCTGGG